GCTTCAGATTTAGCGTGTACGTCGGTTTGTTTGTGTCTGTCTGTTGTCCATTCGTCCTGCATTTATGTTGTTTCTATGTGATTTTGTTTCTCGCAGTGCGCGTAAATCGATGGAAACGCGCTCGCAACAAGACGAGGAGCGCGCCAACGTCCTGGAGGTGCAAGTTGACGAAGCAAAAGTAATTGCCGAGGAAGCGGATCGGAAATACGAAGAGGTGGTCCTTACCGCTTGCCATTGATTTTATTAAAACTAGCAGTAGGGCGCACCAAAAGCACATGAATTTCATTTTGCTTTTTTCGTGATTTTGGTGCCAATTGAGCCATTTTTTCGTGCGCTGTGGCTTCTTACACAGTGATTCACTTGCGTTTTTTTTTTTTCTGTTTTATCCTATAACAGACGTGGTTCAGTGCTCTTTGGAAGAAAACCACTGAAGCAGATGCGGAATGTACGAAAAATCGGTGTATCTATGGCCTAATTTTTGCTTCAGATCTTTAGAAAGTCAATGTTTACTTAAGATTTTGCTGCCAAATTTGTTGAATTTTGGCAGTGTTTACTCGTCAGCTGTCTTTGTTACGCTGTGTTATTTGTTTTGATGGTCCATTCGTGCCATGTTGTTGTTGTTATGTCCCCAGTTGTTGCGTGTGTGCTTCATTTTGCGGGAAATGCATGTGCATTTAACTAATATTGTGTTGCATGTTTTTGCTTTTTTGCATGCACACCCGAGCAGATTATCTAAAATTTATGTGAATTTTTATGGTGGAAAGAATCCGTGCTTGGCTTGGAGACTAAGGAAAACCTACTCACAATTAAAGTTTGTGAGAATTTCCTGCCTTTGCAGTGCCCCTTTATCAGAATCAGAATCATTTGAGATATAATTAGTGTGACTTAATAAGTGGTTTTTTGATTCTGAAGTGTGATTTGTTGCAGTGATATTTAAATTTCTAACAAAAAAAGCTGCGTTTTTTTCCTCATTCAGCGCTCGTAAAGCACTGGAGAATCGTGTGGATGTGGACCACGATCGTTGCGGCGAGCTCGAGCACAAATTACGGGAAGCACAAGCACTTCTGGCTGAAACAGAAAATAAATCTGACGAGGTTTCCCTTCGTTTCTGCTGACATATTGATTTGTAGTGATTTTGCTGCATTCCACTAACGTGCATATTATTTTGACAGTAAATTTTGTTAATTTTGTTTTGAGAGTGAAATTGAGCCATACTTCAATTAGCTGGTTGGTTTTTATAAAAATGAGGGACAGAAAGGGAACTGCGAGCACTGACCCTCACCCATTTACTACTTTTCGCCCAATCGGGTGCCCAAATTGGCTATTTTACCAGCTAGTTGAAGTCAACAATTTGAAGATCTGTTTCTTCAGGTATCTAAGCATTTTTTCGCTGAATTACATTTCACGCGTGTTCTGCTTATATAATATATATTTGGTGATTAAGAGGCTAGGCATAACTGTGCCTCACGTGCGGAGACATTTCAGTAACACCTCAAAAATGTGGTCCCCACATCAGTTGTCCGGGCGATCTTGGTATTCTTGGTGTATTTTGAATGGATCGAAGTTAATTATCTAAGTATATGATTAATGCGTGTAATATTTTTGTGTGATTGTTTTTTTGAAATTTTTATTTTAGACCTTTCCTCTTTTCATGCATGCTTTATAATTAATTCACTTTGGCCAGTCTGGGTGACAAAAATGGACCCACATAATAAGGCTATTTTTTGAAGTGTCCCTCGCTTCTGATATTGCTCTTCACCTCTTTCCTCTTTTCACTGCAGGCTTCTGGCGGTTGGTTTTTCGTTTTATTTTTAATTTTATCAAAGCTGTTGTATTTTCATAGTGCGTTGTAGTTTCAAACGCATTATACCAAAAAAAGAGAATTGTCACTAGAAAAATTGTAGTAATATTTGAATTTGAAAAAAAGCTTTTTTGGAACTTCAAAAAAGAATTTTGTGAAACTTTAAAAAAGCGACTTTTTAAATTTTTTAGATAGAAATGAAAATTTTTAGCAAAATTACGAGGTTTATCTCGGAACCAGAAAGTTTACAGTAGTGGTGAATGCATAAAAATGTTAGTATTTGGGGTTTAGTGTTCGCAAGGTGATGGAAAATCGTTCATTCCAAGATGAAGAGCGTGCAAACACGGTGGAGTCGCAGCTCAAGGAGGCACAAATGCTGGCCGAAGAAGCGGATCGCAAATACGATGAGGTGACACCAAGTGACCATTTGCTAACTCACCGCGCGAGGTGCCCATCAACACTCCCCCGTCCTGTTGTTTGCTCTGATTGCCACTACAGCAGCATGCGCCTTTATTTATTTACCCAGTCTGTGTCTCTGTTTACTTAATTAGAGCGTAGTTGTGCGAAATTTTCGCGCATCAGTAACACCAATTCCTCGTTTACCTCGCATAATTGATGTTTAGCATATCACGTGCCATAGACTTACGAGTGCTCATTCGTATAATTCACAAGCTTTTTTTTCTTATAATTTGTGTGGCAGAATGTAACTAGAATTGCCATGATTCTAAAGCATGTATTTCGTGACTGTGATTTTATTTCTCGACTCCTAAGAAATCCATCCTAGGGATCAAGCTGCTTTTCGCCTTTCATTCCACCTATTGGTACCAATTTATAGCAGCAGTAAGTACACAGAGATGCACCGAATATACTACCTCCACGCAAAATTCATAGTCTGTTTTCAAATTTTAAGAAAAAAAAACAAAACTCGTTCTGTCTTCTGTTTCTGAATCGTCGGAAGTTCTCCGATTGGTACTACGTATCAGTAACAACCACTTATTTTGCGAGAGTGTCATTTATACTTCCGAGAGCGGTTTAAAAGTAGTTTAAGGGCGTTTTTCACTCTCTTGCATGCGTCGATACAAATTTATTGTCAAAACGAATGAACGAATCGTTGAGGGACTGGTTGCCTCGTACACTGACCTGAGCTTTCAATTTTCAGTAGAAAAGCAGCTCCTTTTGTCAGTATTCCATTCCTACAGGTCTTTGCCACTGGCATAACACTTTGTGGCTTTGGATTTAGAAATCTGTTGGCATACAGTGATTGCAAGCCTCTAGTTGAAAACTGCGGCGCAGCATGTTTCTCCATCTGGAAATCACGGTTGCGTCCAACAAATCTGGTCCAGTTTCTGAAAGCTACTTACTTGTATGGATGTCGAAAAACTAGACTTTTTTCAGTTTCTCGATCCTAAAAGATTGATTTTTGTAGTTGCTTTAACTAACTAGATGCATTTTGCTCCACTGATATTTTATTGTATCACAGATTTTATTTGCAGTATGTGTTTGTTTGGATAATTTCAAGGCATATTCATAGATGTCTAATCTTGTTTTGCGCGTATGCTTTGGAGTCTGCTAACTCTTTTTGCAGATTTGCTTCATTATTTCAATGTGGAAATTTCAAATTTGAGCTAATATGAGATACATAATTCATTTCACTTATTTCCTCCCTC